CCCCTCTGTACAGTATTTTCACAATAAAAAAAGTACTCATTACCTTGCTCATGTAACTGTAACCCCTTTGTACAGTATTTTCACAATAAAAACTTAATTTAAAAAGATGATCAAAGTATATCATATATATTTATATAAATATATAATATATAAATATATTACATATGTAATATGCATGGAGTGATATTAAAGAGTAATAGGGAGTGAATGTGATCAAAATAAGTATGACGATATTACAATAAATTCCTTTTTAGTTAATATACACTAATAAAAAAAGTGGGAGAAAAAAAAAACGTGGTGGAAGACAGTCCTAGAGAGGAAAAGAACCTCCTGAGTGTCCAATTCCTCCTGTGTTCAAAACCTCTTTAGTGTCTAGTTCAATTCCACGTTCTGTGCAAGAGGCCCTGAGTTCCATCCCCTGCCCTGGAAAAAAAAACCCAACAACTGAGCAGCCAGCCACAAGGGCAGGGCTGAATGGTGGTGGCAACCTCTCTAGGTCAGATAGGGGGCGCTCTGGAAGATGGAAGGTGGGGTGGTTCTGTTTGGAAGGGAAAGCTAGGCTCCTGGAGTTCTGCTCCTTTGGGCTTGACATGAACAACATGCAAATGAGCACCTGGCTCTGAGTCAGCAGTGAGTAACCCTCTGTGGGGTGCGGGGTGTAGGCCTCTGTGGCTCCCTGGGCTGCACACACATTGGCCTCCCTCTCAACTCCCTGAGCCCAGGGACAGCCTCTGCACCCTGACCCCTGACCCTAGCCTTTGTTCTGCACAACCCTGGGTCAGGGCAGGTGTCTGGCCTACCCCCTCCCCACACCAGTCAAACTGTATTCATAGATCTGATTACTAGTTGATCACGCTTGTGAAATGGATTGATGTCAACTCTAACAAGGACGGTCCTAAACCAAGAAAGGAAATGTGGTGGTATATATTTAAATGTATAGCCCAAAGAGCAGCAAGGGTCTGACTGTCTGAGTAGCTCTGTCTGTCTCCAGGAGGAAGGGACCCCAAAGGGAGCCAAATAGCCTCCAGCTTGGCCTGGAGCCTCAGCAGAGAGGAATCAGCCAGCCCTGGACACCAGGAAGAACCTTTGTGGTTGGCCAGGCAGGGTCTCCTCATCTGACAGGACCAATGACACACCATTGGCCACTCTCCAGCAACCCTGTGAGCCAGACACAGTCTCCGTGGGTCCAGCCAGACTTCTTTTAGATAATGGCTAAAGATAGCTAGCTAAATGGCTGACTGGTTCTCCTCCATTCCCTCTCCAGACATGGTTTCCATTGACTTTCTTGGGTGATTGTTTCTTGCTAACAAGGGGAAGCATTGTGCATGGCAGGAAAAAACCCTGTAAGGATTCTAACCACGATGTCTACAGCAGGCCCCTCTGTCAATCCAGGCCTGTGTTTGGGTCTCTGCTGGCTTGACCTACTACTCTATTTGTGGGAGAGTTGTCTATGTTTTATATGCAGACTCTTTTGAGGTCTGTCCTACAGTTTCCTGTTCTGTGGAGCTGCAGGGTCTGGAGTTCAAGGCCAGGGGCAGTGTGATGAGGAAAAGAGGCAGCAGTAGTAGGGACGCTGGCTTAGCATCTCTGCTGTGATGTGGACCCAACAATTAGAGGTAGAGCAGGTCCGGACAGTTTCTTTAGCTAAAGGAGTCCTTCAGTGAGCACCACTTCACTGTTTTTCTACCCTTCTGATGATAGTTTTTAGATAGAAAAAAAAAAGGAAGTCCAATTCCCAATGTGGAGGGTAGAATAGAGTACCCAACACCCAAACAGCTATTAACACAGCTGTTGCTGGTTCCTGTTATATGTTTGAGTCAAGATCAAAGCTTAGCTGGGGACATGTTCTGGCTGGCTTAGCACAGAGAGAGATTTCACAGATGGTGGCAGATGTCATGGAACCCAAAGGTGAAGCCACCAGGGACTCCACCATCTCAGCACTCAGAAGAAAAGTCAAGAAATATTCTGCTAAACTCACTACAATTAAGATACCAGAGTGGGGGGGGGGGAAGGGAGGATAAAAGTCTTGTTACCTAATAGCTTTCTGTTGCCTTTATCCACAAACCTGTCAGCCTATGGCTTTTCAAAGGTTTAGCATGTCAGTTCAGCCAGTGCAGCCAGCAGGGTGAGTACTTAAATGTAGTTTTGTAACCACAGGATTGTCCCATCTAGGCCTACAATCCTTTCTGTGGTTCCAGAAAGCTGTCCCTCATGCAGGTTGCTATGAGCGACTCCAGTAGCCAAGTACTTCCAGCTCTTCCCATTACACTGCAAGGCAATGGGCACCAGGGTCAGCTCTAGACATACAAGCCTGGGGCTGAATCAATAGCTCTGCCATACCCACTGCATAGTGCAATCAGTACTCCAGCCACCCCAAACCACAGGATTCGTCAGGGATCACAGTGCCTGTCTCACTGAGTACTAGCAGAGTGTAGAGAGTATTTGCATAATGCATAATCCACAGCACTTGCTCAAAGAGTGTTAGGTAGCATCTCACATCTGTGAATGCCCAGATGGGTGCTACTTGGTACTGCCATGGTCCTATGAATCCCACAATTTTCTACATCTCATAGACATATGTATTAGGCAGTACTGCTAATCTGCAGACTTACAGTCATAAACTCAGGGAAACTATTATGAAATGGCTGTTAGAATTTATTTTCATCAGGCTGTGACTATGGATTTCCTGATTTCCAAGATAATTCTTCTTTTATCTTAGGAGACCATTTGCTACTCTCAAAATCTGAAAATAGCTAGGTGCAGTGGCTCATGTTTCCAATCCCAGCTACTTAGGAAGTGGAGATTGGAGGACTGTGGCTTGAGGTCAGTCCAGTCAAAGTTGGTGAGACTCCATTTCAGCCAATAAGTATGATAGTATCCATCTGTGGTCCTAACTACTTTAGAAGCCAGAAGGAGGATCAAGGCCAACGACCAGCTCTGGAGAAAAACATGAGATCCTTCTTGAAAAATAATAAAGCAAAAAATGGCTGGAGGCATGACTGAAGCAACACCCATACCATTCTTGTTCTCCATCATTCCAGGCCATGAAGGCTCTGGCTCCTCCTCACCATCCCTCCTGCTCTGCACAACACAAGGATGCATTTCCTAGCATTCAAAGCATTGTTTGTGGATGAACCACCATCTCCTCTGATCCTGGGTTCAAGGAATGAGCTGTACACCACACACTGACAACTTTCTATGGAATTGGAAACTTGAAATTGGATACAAAGCTGACTATGGGAGAGTGATGTGTGTGTGTGTGTATGAGAGAGAGAGAGAGAGAGACAGACAGACAGACAGACAAAGAGAGAAACAGAGATTGGAATACATTATAAATGTAAGGAAAGGTAACAATGAAATTCCTCCCTGTGTAACTAATGTAAACAAATAAAATATGAAAGTTAGAAAACAAAAAAGGCTGACTATGTGGAGAAGGAAGGATAAACAGAGTCAATGAGTTTTAGGGCAGTGGAAATGTTCTGTATGATGTTATTGTGGCACATAGACATTTTGTATCACAAGTGATGACAATGATACATTTGTCCAAGGATACAGGATACACAGTACCCAGGGTGAATCTCTATGTAAGTGATGGACTTTGGGTGACAGTGATGTGTTGATGTCAGCTCATCAATGGCCACAAAGGTATCACTTTAGTGGGTTGTTGACGTTGTGGGAGGCTGTGCATATGGTATGTGGGACAGCAGACCTAAGAAAAATCTCCATATATTTTTTTTTGCCACAGACTTAAAAAAATGAAGTCATCAAAACTGATTTTATAGAATCATATGTATATGTGTGTGCACTTGCGTGCACGCGCGCGCGCGCGCACACACACACACACACACACACACACTCTACTGAAATGGTCTCCGACAAATATGAAAATTTAAGAAATCTAACTCCTTTATTTAACACCAAAGCTTGCAACATTGTTTATTAAAAAAATAATGGCACCTGCTTTGAAATCATGAATGATACCACCATGGAGTAAAGAGCTACAGGGAAATTACAAGTATAGGCTGATCTGAATCCACAAAGCAGTGCACAAAATGGAAATTCCACAACAGACATCACAATCAACATTTCCAGCATCTACTTCAGAGCTGAAGCTCATCTTAAAGACAACATGTTTAGTGGAAACATTTCTCTTTTTAGGATAAACAGCAGACATGCTTTAAATAAATTAAAATGGTAACACCTAAATCATTCCCTGAACCAATCACAGTACATTACTTTCCAGCTCCTTATAAACAAAGAATTGTATTGACTTCAAAAAGTTATGTTAGTTGTTTTGTGTCTTATAGGTTATCACACTTCTGTTAGTAATTTTTTTAAAGTCGATCTACTTTTGCTATAAATAGACCAGTCCTATTCTTTCCTTGTCTTTTTAGACCCAAGCTCTCCTTAGTCATGCAATAACCTTCTAAAATCATCTCTCTCCAAATAAGTCCTGAATCCTAAATAATGCTGTGTCTTTGTGTCTCTCTAAAACATACTCCTCACAATTAAAGACATGTGCAATAACAAATGTTCTATGCTAAAAGCCTGGGAAGACAATCCCGTGTACATTGTCGAACATCATTGATGGAGGGCTTTTAGTGATTATAAGGATTTTTTTTCTTTTTGGAGGGGGTTAGGAGAAGGGAAGTTTTGTTGGGGCTTAATCATACTCAAAATATGAAAGAACCAACTCAAAGCCCACTGATAAGTACTTTTAAGTTTTGGTCTGATCCCAACAAACTATCAAGGTGTTCATGACAATATGTCACTAATAATACTTGATAATGTTTCAGAGTGCCAGGGGTTTACCCATCTGACAACTAGTTCTCATCTTTAGGGGAGCAGATGTTTACTACCAGCAGAAGGTATAAGGATCTGAAAAGTCAACCAAACATCCAATTTCTGGGTATGTCACAGTTGTATCACTATTTTTATTTCTCTCTCTTTTTTTTGGTTGGTTGGGGGGCTTGAACTTTGGGCTTGGGAGCTGTCTCTGCACTCTTCAGCTCAAGGCGAGTGTTCTACCGCTTGAGCCACAGCACCACTTCCTGTATCACTATTTTTTATTGTGTAAAAATCTTCATTTAGTCTTATTCACTGAAGAGAACAAGCAGGTGGAGGTATAGTCTTTAAGAAAATAATTAACTGCAGAGAATAAAAAGTCTTTTATACTCTGATATCATCTGATTAAAAAGTAAAAAAAAAAAAAGCTTCATGAACTTTCCACAAGTCTAAAATAAATATGCCACAGCCAAGCAAGGCAAGGTTACTTGACATTTAATGAGCCAATGGAAACATGGATTGTTTCAGGGAAGTTTCAGGTTGGGAGATTTAGGAGACAGTGTCCAGTTGGTTCTGTTAGTAGCTCCAGCCGAGGGATGGAAGGGATGGAGTGAGCTGCTTCTTCTACTCTTCTGCTCTCTCCCTAGGGAGTAGACATGCCGATCACAGGTCTGAGGTGTCAGACACAGCCTTCCTAAATTACATCATGACATGGTGTATGGTAGTGTGAGAATAGCACTTGTGTCTTTTTGGGTCCTTCCAGAACCTTATGCCTCATTCTCCCCCAAAGTGCCCTCAGAAAGATGCCCAAGAACTAAAGAGAAACCCAGAAGGGTCTACTTAACTTTTGGGTTTAAGTTGCTGGAGTCAGATGCCTACAGGGAAAATGGAGGTTGGCCATTCAACTATAAAAGCAAAAGGAAGCATATCAGTCTTTCTCCCTCCCTGCGCACACCTAGGACACATCTGTCCTGGATTCAGAGGGTCACGGTGAGCACAGCAGCCTGGGGTCTGACAGCACAGGGCACATGGCTATGCAGCACTGTGTCCTTGATTCCAAAAGCCTTTATAACCACAGATTTATGAAACTATGTTTATTGTTCTAAAAATACTTGAGTCTGGAATTAGTTTGGGACAAATGTGATGTTGGGGCAGTTGTGAATTTATTAAAATGACTGCATCATACATTTTAAAAAGAAGAAAAAGGAAGTAAGCTGGAGTTGCCTGAGTCTCATTCATCCATGCTGGATATGTACTAAATTCTCTCAAACCCTGGCAAGCTCTGTCACATTTGTTTTTTTCCAGGAGATTTCCTCCAAGAACAGCTACTTGCAAATATTGCACTTAATTCACATCCAGGAGCTGGGGGATCTTCTGTTGAAAGCATCTCTTCACCTTCAGGAATGGTGGGGTGGCGACAGGATCAGGAGGGGACAATAGTTCCCATCACAATTTTCTCCATCCACCTCAGTGTTAGGTGACTTATAGGAAAGGACCATTTGACAGATACAGAAGGGCCTCCTCACAAGACCAAAGACACAGTTCTCGAATGCTTCCCCTGGGTAGCAGAATATGTGTCCCATTGCTATGGATCTTGCCATAGATCTGAAGAGATAAACAGAAACCTGGACTCTAGCACTGGACTGAACTTATTTTATTCTTGCTGCCCTTCTTCCCCCATATAAGCAGAGCCTCTCCATCTCCATCCAGAAGTGTGTCTCCCACTAGCTGAATCTAATCAAATTACCATACAATCAGAGCAAACGTCATCCTTCCTCATGCCTCCAGTGTCTGACGGCAAGGCACATTAGCTTTCTAAAGTGATTCTGTTGTTCCTCTTTAAGAAAAGTCCTGCACCATAAGCATAGCTTGTTTTCATTTCCTGGGGGAAGCTTTGCAATGTGATCTTCAAGAGCCAAGAGGGAAGGGAATCATATTCTCAGGGGGTCCGGATTATCACAGCTAGGATTTGCCTCAGCACAAATCTCTGGACAGTGCTCCCAGAATCCTGCATAAAGATGCAACAGTACCACAAGTGCTGAGGCAGTGGGAGCCTTTCTGCATGCTGTGAGAGTGGGCTTTTGTTAACCATAAAGGTGAAATCAGGGGAGAGCTTGACTTGTACATCCTAGTGGTTCACCATCTAACATGCAACACAACCTGTGCATAAACAGGCACAGGTTTCCCTGTAGAGGCCACACACAGCTGAGCCTGCTGTACATATCGTGGGGCCTTGGGGTATACATGGACAGGTAAGACGGATCACAAAGTGATTTACTGCACTTCTCCAGGCTTGTGGTCCAGTGTTTCTCCACCTTCCAGAATGGACTCATGTCACATACATCCTTTCCAGTTAAAAGAGGGAAAACACAACCACTGGGGAACATTTACCGTGGTGAAGCTTACTTGTGATAAGAGACTTAAAGGAAGAGAAAGAGGGAGGCACCCTTTCCTGGAAGGGGGAGGGGTGTCACTTATTATGCCAAGTGCTCGATACACAGGAGTTAGTTCATCCTGCTGGGCTCAGCAGGTGGGCAGGAATCTGGTCTGATTAAGGCAGTGAGCAACTTGGAGAGAGCTCCAGACAGATTCACGGTAACTAAGGACAGGGACTGAGTTGGCAGCAGCCACTGAGTTACAGAACTGTAGTTATTTACACCACACAGCTCCAAGCCTTCTTGTCATCTCTAGTCCGTACAACTGTTCATTTAAAAATTTGGTAGTATGCACAGAGTGTTCTTCAAAATAAAAACTTGCCAGAAAGTGAAGGCAGGAACCTGGGGCTTCATCTCGGTATAATTACCCTTTCTATGGCACACAGAATATGGTCCCAGTTTTTACAAAATATTGCCAGAATAGTCACAGCACAGAAGGTGCCAAGAATGTGGAAACGGCTCTTCATCATGGGAGAGACGAACTTGGCCAGGGTGGACACGCACACCAGGATGACGGTCATGAAGGCCAGCACCACGTTGATGCACTTCCCCAGCAGCACCTTGGCATTCACTGAGTCTGTCTGCAGGGTCTGCTGCTCCTGCTGGTGCAGCTCCAGCTTAGAAATTCGCGTCTGGCAGGATTCCAAGGCTTCCTGTGGGCAAGAGGAGAGGAACCATCAAAGGCTGGGGAGAGCAGAGCCGCACTGGCCGCAGGGGAGTGGGCATCCAGATGTGCACAGAGGCCCCCAGCTTTGATCCCCAAACCAACAATCAGGATGACAAAGATGTAAAATGAGAATCCCAAGGCTCCTTCAATCCTCATGCTTTCCAGGGGTGGAACATCATGTGCATACAGCTGTAGCATACCACAGATGAAGAAGTTTGGTTGTTGTTGTTTTTATTGTTTTTAACTCTGCCTCTATTTGTAATAAAGTGACAAATCAGCAAAGAGAGTGGGGTTGGATTCTGTGATGAAGCCATAGCAGCTGCTCCTGTCTTCCATTGTTGTCCTCTCAGTGTGTGTGTGTGTGTGTGTGTGTGTGTGTGTGTGTGTGTTTGTACTAACCAGTGTGGAAGGCACAGTGAGGGGAAGAAGGGAAGGGGAACAGGATCAACAATAGGCCCCACTTTTGCCTGCTCTGTGAATGCCCAGCACAAGCTGCCTTTACAGATCTCTGCATTCCAGGCTCTGATTTCTAAGACATGGATGACTGATGGGCCTCTAGCTCAGCTGTCCCTTCTGAGACCCATTCACACATCCAATGGTAGCTTCACGTGAGCTTCCTGAAGCACCACAGTGTAACACAGCCAAGTATGTATGGAATGCATCTTCCCTCCCCCTTCCCACTGCAGTTCATGTTCCCCCCTTCTCTTTCCTCAGAAAACATGCTAGAAGCTCCCCTGGGCATGTACCTTGTCCACCTGATCACCTTGCCCCACACTGTGACACACAGTATCTATCTCAATTCATCCATTTCCCTCCCAGCCTCCATCTCACTCAGGTCTACCATGACCTTACATGAATTCCCCTCACTCCCTGTCGCTGCCCAATCCAATGTAACCATCTTCCACACAAAAGCCCAAGGGATCTTTGAAAGATGTACATTTGACTCCTCTCCATTCAACCTTCAAATCTTTCCTATTGTCCTTTGAGGCCTTGCCCGGTTCAGGTTTATCCACCCTCTCCTTACTCTCCTAATGTAACCCATTGTCCCTTCACAGTGAACGGGCCAAACTGTCTTTGGCCAATTTCTGAAGCAGCATGTACTCACCTCTGAGCCTGAAATGTGCTCTTCTCCCTCTCCCCCTCCTCTCTTCATACTTCAGGTCCTATCTCAATTGTCCCATCCTGAAGGAAGACTTCTTTGACCCAACTCCTCTCCATCTGACTTCCCCAAGCAAGAGCTAGACAGGGACTAACCTGCCGTATCTTCCTGTCCTCTCTAGCAGGTGCCACATGCTATAGCTGAAGATTAAAGAGACTGAGTGCCTGTAGTAGGAAGTGAGATTTGAGAGAGAAAAGCCTGAGGTTTGTAGAGAAAAGGACTAAGCAGAGGCAGGATGGAGTGCCCTACTAGGTCACCAGCCTGCTGTCTAAACCGTTTGCCAATATGTTTGGGCAGTTACACACAGTTATCTTTTCAGGTTTTAAGCACGCACCGTGGCTTGAACATTGATTTGCTTTTCTGTTGAATACACTCCATGGGCCAGAGACCAAGGTTCTCTGTTACTATAGTAACTTTCATTACACTCGGCTTCTAACCAAAAGGATAAAACTTCTTTAGATCTTCCCATTCTAAGCGGGGCTGGCTGGCTGTAGTCACAGACCTGTGCCAAGCCTGGCATCCCTGTTTCAGACATTGATGGCCTAGAAAAAGTGATAGAGCCAGACAAAAGATCAACCTTTTAGACACAATTCATCTTGGGCTAGACACAAAGGGGCTTTTAGAATTCTTTCAACACTGTTACTAGTTGTTATTAAAAGAATCTAAGAAAATTAGGCAGTAATGGGCAAGGAAATCTGCTCATGGTACCAAGAGATAAGTCCTACAGTTCTTAGCACTTCCTTGGTCCAGTATTGAACTTACTGGGAAGGAATTGTCTTTAAATACTACAAATTAGGTTTTTTAAAAAAAATCTCAGTTGCCTGAAATACTGACAAAAGCTTTAATATCCCTGGGGGCAACTGCCACCATCCCAGCCTGGGGTTGGTGGCTCGTGCCCATAATCCTAGCTACTCAGGAGGGCTGAGATCTGATGATTGTGGTTCAAAGCTAGCCAGGGAAGAAAAGTTCGTGGGATCCTTATCAGCAATTAACCAGCAAAAAGCCTTAAGTGGGGGTATGACTCAAGTGGCAGAGCATCAGCCTTGAGCAAAAAATTAAAACATGAGCACAAGGCCCTGAGTTCAGTACTGGCACACATACACACATACTCCTTCCTGTCCAAACACAGAGTCCATTCCTGTCATAGAAAATAAAAAAGCCTGAGAGAAATGTGGCTACTTGACAATACAATGACTGGCATGCATTGGCTGGCTGTTTATGTTATGTGTCCAGCAAAGACTTGACATGTAGTATCCCATTTGACCTTCTTGACCTTCAAAGTAGAGCAAACTAAGTTTCAGCTTTATAGCTGAGGAAACTCAGGCACAGAGCACTAGCTTGCAGGGGGCAAACAGAGGGCCAGCGTGTGACAAGAAAGACTACTATAGTTACTTAAACAGAGTTCACTTTGCAATGCTGACCTAAAAGTGAGATTAGAAAAATGTGGAAATGAACTCTGTGTGTCCAAATTCCCTTTTTGAAGTCCCTTCCTTTATCTGACCTCTTCACCTCTCAAATATGTTTCTTAAAAAAGAGAAGAGCAGTGTTAACACAAACCATCCCCTATGAGAAAATGATATATCAGACGCCAGCGACATTCCAGAGCTGCTGGAGAAGAGAATGGTTGCATAAAGGCCTGTGCTTCATGTGGTTCAAGTTTCTCAAGGCAGCTGTTGCTGGGTGATGTTGTCTCCTAACCCCAAGTGGGGCAAGAAATCACCCTCTCTCCCCTGTGTCCTCTGTGCCACACTTTCTGGGGGCAATGCTTCCCCACACAGCACAGAACACTGACCAATTTGCAGGCAAAAGTGCAGAGTTCAACCTTCTCCCTAGTGCAGCAGGGCTCTGGCTGTCAAAGGCTCTAGTGGTGCTGCAGAAAATAACCACTAACTACAGAGAAAGCCTGAGCATTGCTCAAGCAGTACATTTTTATAAATGTACTGCCCAGAAGTCTGCACCACTAGTGCAGTGTGTGAGTATACTGGTTTCACTTTAGGACATTCTGGAACTGCCCTTTATTGATAAGAGTCAAGTGACCCCTCTCCCTTCCAACCATAACAGCCACTCCACTTTCTCTAGGACACAAATCCACTAGCTATTCAAGGACCATTGTCAAGACCTTGTTCAGACCACCTCTCTGTGCCTCAGTCTCCACATCTGAGAAGAATGGTTAGTAAGAGGCATAGCCTAAAAAGGTAGTTGAGGAGTAAGGAAGGAAGAAAAATGGAGACACGAAAAGTACTTTGTTAGTGTCTGGGATATCGCATGCACTGGAATGCCTGAAGCCCTTCCCAACTCTGAAGTTACTGCCTCCTAGAAAGACACATTCAAGGCTTGCTCAGGAACACACGCAGCTGGCAAATGGTATACACACAGCTGGAATTGCAACCAAGTCAACCCACTGAGTTGATACCCATTCCTATCCCAGACTGCTGGCTACTGCAGGCCTGGATTTCTGTAGCTTATAGTGTTTCTACCACGGAATGTGATCTTACCTGGGAAGAAAGCATCTAGAATTGTCTAGAAGTTAGGTATACTAGGCTTAGGGTCAAAAATCAACACTTGTAAACTGATTTAGGCAGAGAAGAGTCTAGAGGGTGGCTTCTCCTTAGACTCAGTAAGAGTTAATAGGGTGCTGGGAATGTGGCTTAGTGGGAGAGTGCTTGCCTAGCAAGCATGAAGTCCTGGGTTTGAGTCCTCAGTACCACATAAACAGAAAAAGCCGGAAGTGGTGCTATGGCTCAAGTGGTAGAGTTCTAGCTCTGGGCAAAAGACGCTCAGGGACAGTGCCCAGGCTCTGAGTTCAAGCTCCAGGACTGGCCAAAAAAAAAAAAAAAGAGTTTATGGGGCCAGCAGGGGGAGAGGAAATGTTCATGTTGCATGGAAAACACTGAGCCTACCAACAGAAATCCCTGAGGCCCTGGGAGATGCACCCAGTTCATCTTTTGGATGAGTTAAAGCCCCCAAATACCCCCCACATGAAGGGTAATGAGAAGAGAGGCACCTGGATGTCCCGCGAGCGCTCATAGGCCTGGTAGGCCACCTTCTCCTCGGCGCTGGCCAGCTCTTGCTTCAGGTTGGCCGTCTCGTGCTGGTGGAGGTCGGTCAGGTCATGCAGCTGGTCTTCTAGTCGCTCATACCTTGAGAGACACCGGAGCCCACTGTGAGTCTGACATTTTAGCCTCCCAACAGTGCTTTTTAGAATGATGTCTTTATGGCTTACTGCCACTGGCACTGTGTAGCAGACCTCCCCACCCGCTCTGTCCTCTCCCCCTAGAAAAATCCAAGCGTCGCTGCAAGGAGCACACCAGCTCTGGAAAGGCGTGGTTTTTGGGGTCTTAACTCTCCTTATCTCTGCAGTTTCACACAAAGCAAAGCAGGCTTTCTACCTCTGCCTGATCATTGGAGGGGTGGGCACTACCCTGCTCAGGGCCAGAACCTACCATAGCCAAGGGGACTTCTGCTTTTGCCCACAGTGCCTGGGGTTCAAGGCAGAAGCCGGGGGTGGGGGGAACACCCACATTTCCATCAGCCTTGTTCTGCAGCCAGTTCTCCCATGTACACCCCCCTCCCCATGTGAAACGCTCAGAACTTAAGCTGCTAATAACAATTAAGCTTGTTATACATTATAGAGAGCTTATCAGGTGGCATTTCCCAAAGTCCAAATCTAAAGCAAGAGAAAGACAAAGATTTCTAATCTCATGCTCTGCTCCCCTCAGAGAAGACGATTTGGCTTTTGTTTCAAACCTTGTAATGTCTATTTTAAACAGAATGCTTGAGCCTGGCATGTCTCTGATTGATGCTGGTCATCCGGTGAAATTGTTTTTGCCAGTCTTGGGGCTTAGGACCTGAGCACAGTCCCTGAGCTGCTTTTACTCAAGGCTAGCAGTCTACCACTTGAGCCACAGTGCCACTTCTGGCTTTTTCTGTTTATGTGTTACTGAGGAATAGAACCCAGGGTTTATGCATGCTAGGCAAGCACTCTACTACTAAGCCATATTCTTGACCTGGAAAAGGCAAAAAAAAAAGCTTAGTTCTGACTCTAGGACTATTTGCAAGCATCCTTCAGGGGGCTGGATGGTACAGTGCCTTCAAAAACACCTCCTCTAGAGCTCGTAAGTAACAGACAAGTGGTGATATCAAAGGGAACACAAACAAAATGAGTCCTAAACTAACATGAATCAGAATAATGGATAAAATATGCATCTATAAACATGTAACTCTGAGTAAAATGTGGATCCAAAAACTACTGTATCTCAAACTCGGGTGCAATGAAGGTCAGAGACCTTCATTGGAAAACTATGATTCCAAACACAGGTCCTAGGTGATGAACTGCCGAAGTCCAGGATGCAGAAGGAAGGTTTAAAACATGGTTTCAGGGTACCAGATGTGGCTCAGTGGTATAGCATGTGCTTGGTGTAAATGAGGCCTTGGCTCAATCCCTAACCACACACACACACACACACACACACACACACACACACACACACGAGTTTCATAAACTACAGGTTAAAAATATATAATCACTTCAAAATGACAATGTAAAGTCATCTATCTATTATAAAACAAGCTATATCTAACATTTAAATGCGGTAGTATTAACAGACATTTACAATGTTATCTACACATTTTAGAAGTGAGCATATTCATTTTCCCTAGGAAACTTTGATCTTTTAGTAGGGAACTGACAGAAAATCTTCTCCTAATTGGTCATTCGTACCTTTTAATTACTAAGCTATAAGCATCATAAAAGCTTAAAAACAGCAACTTTAAAAGTTTTTCTGATATAGCCCATAAAATTTCCATTTTTATTTTAATCTTTTGTGGTGTGTGTGTGTGTTGGTCCTAAAGCTTGAACTCATGGCCTAGGAGCTTATTCCTGAGCTTTTGTATGTAAGGTATAAGGCTAGCACTCTACCACATGGGCTCCACTTCTGGCTTTTTGGTGTTTAACTGGAGATAAGAGCCTCACAATTTTACTGCCCAGGCTGGCTTTGAACTGCAATCCGCTGATTTCAGCTTCCTGAGTCACTAGGATTATAGGTGTGAGCCCATGGCTGCTGCTGCTCGTGCTGCTTCTTCTCTCTTCCTCCTCCCCTACTCTTCCTCCTCCCCCCCTCCTCCTTCTCCTCCTCCTTCTTTTTGGTTTTGTTTTTTTAAAAAACAAGTTCTTGGGGGCTGGGAAGGTGGCTCAGTGGTACAGTGCTTGCCTCGCATGCATGAGGCCTTGGGTTTGATTCCACAGCACCACATAAACAGAAAAAGCTGGAAGTGGTGCTGTGACTCAAGTGGTAGAGTGCTAACCTTATGCTGAAGAGCTGAAGGACAGTGCCCAGGCCCTGAGTTCAAGCCCCACGTCTGACAAAAAACAAAACAAAACAAACAAAAAACCCCAATCAGGTTCTTGATATGTAGTGTAGGCTGGCTGGCCTCAAATTTGTCTCTGCTTTCCAAGTTCTAGGACTAGGGTATGTACTACCATGCTCAGCTACGTTAATCTTAAAATCACTTTTGAGCTGAGTTCTGGTGGGCTCATGCCTATAACCCCAGCTACTTGGGAGACTAAGATTGGGAAGATTATGATTTGAGACCAGCTTTGGCAGAAATGTTTATGATACCCCTTTCTTAACTAATAGGCACCATTGCACACACTTATCATACTAGCTTTATGAGAAGCTAAGATCAAGAGGATCATGTCCCAGTCAGCCAGGGAAGAAAAGATTACAAGACTTAATCTCAATGGAAGAAGCTAGGCATGGTGTATACACCTGTCACCTTAGCTATGATGAGAAATTTAAAATAGGTGAATTGTGGTCTAGGCACAAACATGGCCAAGAAATGAGACCCTATCTCAAAAATAACGAGTGCAAAAAAGAGCTGGCGGCAGGCTCAGACAAAGGGTACCTGCCTAGCAAGCACTAGACCCTGAGTTCAAACGCTGGTACCATTAGAAAAAGAATCACTTTTCAAGGCATTTCATTTGGGGTGAAAAGTTTAATGAGCAAAATAAAGTACTATATATATATATATATATATATACACACACACACACACACATATATCTATATATATATATGTTTATTTATTTATTTATAAAGACTTCAAACTGACTTGTACTTCATACTTAATAAAACCTGCCTTGCTATACAGTGAATTAGCTTTTTACCGGACTGTTATTATGGAGGGGAATGCAATACAGGGCTCTGATTAGTACAGGGAGACTACTACAGAAGTCTACTGAGTCAGTATGTGGGAATGTACACACGTCACAGCCCATAGAGTGATAAAGGAAGAGATTCACAGGCCTAATGTCTTTCTCGGAATGTCAGCTGTAAGCCACATGTTATGAAACTTGGAATTACGAAGGATGGAAAGAACTATGGTTCCCTAAATACCTTTTGATCCACATCGAAATTCATGAAAAAGACAATTCGCTTATACGTTTCAGGCAATCTCTCTATCTCTCTGCAATTGGTAACTCATGCTTCTGAAAGAATTCCAACTCAATAGTCAGAACATACCTGTATCTCTCCTCTTGCAGGGTCTGAGAGATGAAGCCATATTCTCTCTTAAACTGCACCTTCAGTGCCTCAATGTCCTCTGCCAGCTGGGCCTGGGTGTCCTTGATTTCCCTCAGTTCCTCCAGGATCATGGCAAGCTTCCCCTGGCTGTCCAGTGTGTTGGCCCCGCCAGCCCCAAAGGACTGGTTGCCATTACTATCCGCTGAGCCTGACGTGCCGCTCGAACACTCATCATCGCTGCCATACTTGGGTTTGTTCACAATGGTGGCACTGCCCCCATAGGCCCTGGCACTTGCTTCAGGCCTAAACTCTTCTAAGGAATTTTTTAAGTGAGCAATGTTGTCAGCACTACCAAATTTATTCCGAATCAAATTGGCAAACTCCCTGGATTTATTGAAGACAAATACAGGGGGAGTGAGGGACACCCCTGGCATGCCCAATTTACTACTCTCCAGGCAGTGGGGGGCAGTTCGAGATTTCACATGGGCATCTTTCAGAGAGTGATGGATGTCCTTCAGGTGGTCTTTGGAGATGTCCTTTGTGCTTCTGGAGGCTCCATTCTGCTCAATCTCCCTGAGCTTTCTGTGGTACTGCTCTAACTTCTTCTGCAGCTGGGCAATGGAATGGGCTGATTTCTGGTTCTTCTTCTCAAAAACCTGTTTGATGCGCCCAGCCTGCTGCTTGTCTGCACTGTTGACCAGCTTCAGATACTCGGCAACATTCCCATCGCGGGAGGTTTGCTCAATTTTGATTTGTTCTGTTACCTTCAAGATTTTTTGTTTCAGGCTGTCTGCATTGAGTTTGACCTTGTGGAAATCCAGGATGCCATCTGGTACGTCGAAGTTGAGATTAGTGTCTGAGCCGCCTCGGCGTATGTTCAGGGGTAGGCTGAGGGTATTCATGTCATGTCGTTCTACCTAGAAGACACCAGAGAGAAGCCTTTTAATATGAAGGGTTTATATGAGATGGTTACTATGACAGGATCTGTTGCATATGGCATGCACACATTAAGTTCCAGATTTTCCATGGCATGCTCTACTGGATAAATACACGCTGCTATCTTTGCAGGGTGAAGATTGACCAGTCCTGCTCCTTCTAACTAGAATGAGAACCAGAGCACCAGTGCATCTGATTTACCATCTGATGTGATTGTGAACATGAACTGCAGAGTAGAAACTGCAGAACAGAATAAGGTCCCCAGTTCAACTTTGCCAAAGTGCCTTGGGACCTGGGCTGCTAGCCATGGCTCCTCTGTGAACGTAACCATTATGGGACAAGTATCCAACCCTGAATCCACTCATTTCCTAGCAGAAGGGAAAAAAAAAGAAAGAAAGAAAAAAGCAAGCGAAATTGTAGCAGGTACATCCATCAACAAGAGAAAATTATTTTCTTAATGGAATCATTAAACACATGTGACAGAACAGTATGGTGCAGGATGAACTTTAATAATTGAATAATACAACAGAATCTAGATAGGGAAACAAATAACTACACCACAGCCATAGAGGCTTTTTTTTTTTTTTTTAAAGAAAATAATGCCAAGACTGCATGGAATAGCTTTCCTCGGCACTAGGCATTTTGGTCAAGTTGTAAGCAATAAGGGGAAGACAAAGCCAGACTTCATCCAGGCTCTGTGGAGGTTGTCTTCTTGGATCCTCACCACATACACATAGTGACTGAAAGAGCCAGGATTGAATTCAAGTCACTCTAATGCTAATCTTCCTCCCGTAATGGAACACTATACCATGACTGTCCTTTGAAGAATGGGTCTCTGCAAAGAGGGACAAAGAATGCACTAAAACTAGAAAACACTGACTTGGGGCAAATAAAGTAATTGATGATAACCACACAATCACTGAGACTGATTTGATTTTATTGGAGATATCAGATCTGGCCATGCGATTCTACTTTGTAAAGACTGTTTTTCTCTCTCTATTGTCTCCCATATGAAAATCACACAACCTGGCTCCTTATCCTAAGTAAGCCAAACAACCAATAGGCTCAGGATTTGATTCTTCTATGTATTTACTCCTAAGTATGATATTCACAATATCATGCTACCTATCCACTTCTTACTAAAATCTCCCCTTTCCTGAAACCCATTCAGAACCCATTTTTCCAAGCAGCCTTTTCTGGTCTTCAAAGAAGCAGCTTCTTCCCTCTGTGAGCCTATCCTGTGGCACCACACACACCTCTGTGTATCACTCATCTCTGTGCTTTAACCACCTGTAGTCTGCAGGTGAAAGGATAAAAAATGTCACAGCTGTACCTAGCCAAGTGCCAGCACTTTCCTTACTCACCAGGAGCTGTCAATAGATGGTTGGTGAACTCAAATGATAATCATTCTTTATTCTGAGGAGTCTACACTAAAGCCATTTAATATGAGTGTTACTACAATAAAATAACCTCAGAAATTCTCAGAAGTTCTCTGACCATGCAGTCCTGACTAATCCCAGGTAGAACTTTTTTTTCCCAACACCTAGGTAATAAGTTCTACATCATTTCAGATTCAACTGAACAGAGGTCTTTTCCATCAGTATGAAACAAGACACCCAAACACACGTTAGAATCTTTGAACTTCATTACACTCAGAACTTTAGAAGAACTTAAAAAGTAAACTCAGAAAGGAGCAAATAAGCATCCAACCCAATGACTTTACAAATAGACACACTGCAACACCTTCATCAAGATGATATTTGCCCCCGCCTGCAGGGAACCACGATCCTGACTTCAAGTTGTATGCATGCACATGCACTCGCCCACACAAACACACTCGTCATTTCTCACTCAACACTGTGAGTTCTATAAACACGTTTGTGCTTCTTGAAACTCATGGATAAGATCTGATTATATTAGGAAAAAATTGCCTGACATTCTTGGAGAATTCCTCTACCTTTTGTGAAGCAAGATGTATTTTGTACTTTACCCGATCAAATGCAGCACTAAAGTCACTACCTGTTCTTCATTCTTTAATTCTGTGCCACACCAGTTAGCCACTTGGGCTGTTTAAATGCAACAAGCCTGGTTTTTTATACAGACTGTAGGTCCAGGACAGCCCTGTACGCAGAGGCAGATGACTTCTGCCTTAAAGTTATAACAATGCTTGGCATGTCTTCAGACATCCAGGTTAGGGGAACAAACAGCCTTTTAAGTCCCAATCAATCACTCTTACTGCTCATCAGTAAGTCTCAGTTGCACATGTTTGATGAGGTCATAAAAATTGGAACTATCTGGGGGCTGCATCTTTTGACCTCTTATAATCTGACCACTGCACAGGTAATCAAGAGCCAGTGATAAATACCACTTGGTACCCACAGATTCCCTAAGCAAGGACTGAGATTGCATATATGTGCTAGGAAGTGAGCAGGGTGTCCTCCATGCTTCATGCTTCATTTAACTTGGACTTGCCCTGATCCTGACCTATATAATACAGATGGCACAAGGCATGATTTCTGGGTCAGGACATGGGGTGGGGGGCAAAGGTTCACTGATCACCTATAGTCTACATGCATGTGGATTGGGACATCTGGGAACTGACATTGACTGCTACATGTCTTTCAGAAAACATAGTCACGTGTGAGGGCCCCCATACATAGAATAAAGAGACAAGACTGGAACAATTCAGGAGTAATAAAGCAGAACTCTGGAAACAGCCTGCTTGGGCTTCCATCTTGCATTATTACCCTTGTAAAGCTGTGTGATCTTTGTAGAAGTGATTTAACCTTCCTATGCCTCAGTTTCCTCTTCTGAAAACAGACCTAGAGATGCTTCCGAGAGTCACCATAAGGAATGAGATAATACAGTGGAAGTGAGTAAGGACTTCCTGGTACAGAGAAACCTTCAGCAAATGTTTACCATTATCCTCCCAGTTTCATTTAAAAATGTATTTGAATTAAAAGCTAAAAGTAAAATAAGCTCAGAAGCATTAACAATGGTTATTTTTGTGCCACGGGGTTATACGGGGTCATTCTTTTAGTCATGCCATTGTATTTTCTGCTTTTTAAAAATAAAGAAAACGAATTACTGTTCTGGCAGGAGAGATGATGTGGGTTTATTTGTTTTGTTTTTTTCACAATGATGGCTAGGCTCTTTCAGTCCTCCCAGAATGACCCAGCTGTTATTACTTAGATGAAAGGCAGACCACCAGTACATTAGCAAAATGCCTTTCCTTGTGTTTCCTTCCAACAGCACAGACGCTGCCACTGTCACCTCACTATTCTGGAATAGAAGCTGAGGCAAAGCTTAAGTTCAGATGGACGTCAGTAATGGGCCTTACATCAGCTCTGCAGTGAACGTTGCCTGCTGCACAACCTCCCAACATCCCTTCCACCTGGATGTTGGCACCACTTAGGCGACACCAGCACCACCAAGAGCACATTGCTCAGGCTTCCTGTCACCCTCCATAGTCACTTCAAAACCCCGGCTAAAAAAACCCAAGACAGCCAGACATCTTAAGCCACCAAGTTACAGATCTGGAGAAGAGGAGGCTCCTGTGCTATGGTGTGGTTTCCTCCCCCCACCCCCTTGCCCCCAAGCAGTGGTTCGTGTGCTGAAGGAGCCTTGGTCCACTGTGCTTGTGGTGAAGTGGAAGAGCCTTTCAGAGGTGGGGCCTAGCAGAGGGTAATTAGGCCACTGGGGTTCTTGCCTCACAGATGGATTAATGGTATTTTCACAGAAGTAGGCAAGTTCCCTGACAGTAGGCTGCTTTAAAGCAAGGTCACCTTACACTCCAGGCCCCTTCTGCATATGGTAGGTCCCTTTCTGATTCTCTACTATGTTGTAACACAGCAGGGGATGGGGGGAGATGAAAGGAGAAGGGGGTCTCCATAAGACCTAAGGATCTTGCTACCTGGACTTCCAGCCCCCAGAATTGTGAGCCCAACAGGCCTCTTTATAAGACACTTGCCCTCAGCAATTTATTAGAGTAACAGAAAATGAACTAAGATGCCTGGGAGGATATACACTAGGAAGGATATACTTTAAGGCAGGCGCCCTCTGAGGTTCTGGGGACATGAAGCAGCAGGAACTGCTGTGAGCCCTAAAGATTGGAATGATGCCTGCTTAGTTCGCAAGGCTGGTGCAATAACCGCCTACAAAAAGGTAAGTATGCTCAAATGTGAGGAAAGGGGTGGATCCATCAGACAGGTTCCATTTCCAAGACAAGAGTTGTTCTTTCTTCAGGTCTAGTTAAGGCTGTTCCTACAGTCAGAATGTGGTAGGCCTTTTCGCTGCAGTAACAATGTCCAAATCCCAGTTCCCAGTGGTGTGTGCGTGTGTGTGTGCGTGCGTGTGTGTGTGTGTGTGTGAACTCGGGGCTTTGGCATGGTCCCTTAGCTTTTTGCTTAAGGCTGGTACTCTTCCACAGGGCCTGGGTGCTCTCCCTGAGCCTCTTTATGATCAAGACTAGCATTCTACCACTTGAGCCACAGTGCCACTTTTGGCTTTTTCTGAGTGGTTTATTGAAGGTTAGAGTCTCATGATCTTTTCTTTATGAGCTGGCTTTGAACTGTGATCCTCAGATCTCAGCCTCCTGAGTAGCTAGGATTACAGACATGAGCCACTAACACCCAGCTTCCCAGGGGCGTTCTTACAAAATGGCTTATTTTTTGCTTAGGCCAACAAATGTGCAACTTGTCAGCTGGTAGACCAGGCTGCGATGGAGCCTCTATTGTCTGGAATGCTGGTGGTGTTTTGTCCATAGTCTCCAAAGACTTCTCCCAGAAGAGACACTTGTGACTTGCTTCACATTATCATACTCAGAGAAAGGGACAAGTATCATACATCAAGCCCAGAAGGGGAAAAATAAATGTCACACGAATGACACATGCAATAGTTTAACTGTGAAATACTCCCTATAGTAGGCTCTAGTACTCTAGAAAATGAAATATAAGGAAGGTAAGCAAATGGCTTAGAAGCA